TGATGGTGGGTCCTGCTGCATGTTATCAGCAGGGTGGACCCAACCTTCATGCCCAGATGTTCATGACAGTTTTCCATCCAGGTCCTCAGGTGGGCCCGTTCATCAAAGATCCTCACTCAGCCTATGAGCCACCACCACACGGCTGGCTGAGCCCTCCTAGATGGAACCCCACCCAAGATGAACATGAGCTTTGTCCTGTATCGGCTCCATCTACTCCTGTGATCCTGGAAGAATGTTTTGTCTCCACCTTGGAGTGGACCTGGGCTTGGCCTCAGCTTTGGCCGTACCTTCTCATGTGCTGCTGCTTTCATCTTGCGTGATGAGAAAAAGTTTTGGGCTTGAGAAAAAGAGTCAAGGGAGATGCTCAAAGTACCACCACACTCACATAATGGCTTAGCTGGAGGCCATTGAGTGTGAAGATGAGGTAGGATGGCCACAATCGGACAGGTCTGGACATTTTCATGTAGAATCCTAAGCCTGGAAGGGACCTTGAGGGGGAGTCTTCCAATCCAGCCCCTTGCTCATGGCAGGACAGCTTGTATCATCTTGGACAAGTGGTTGTCAAATCTTTTCTTGAAAACCTTGAGGGGAAAAACCTACATTTTTCTCGAACAATTTAGAGCAGGCATTGGAGTTCCTGGCAGCCATAATACCTGGCGTCTTTGTAAAACACGGCCCACATTGTGACTGAAGGTATTTCTCCTACCCTCATTATGTTCTGAATCTCTTCAGAGCTCAGCATCTTCTAAAAGACTCCGTTACCCACATGGGATCTTCAGCCACCGAAGCAGCCTCCACTTTGCCTCCTTGTTGTTGATGTCCTTAGTCTCTGAGAAGAAATGCAGTTCGGGATTCAGCAGAATCCCTTTTTTAAAAAAACTGCTGAGTCCCTTCTTGCTCCTACAACAGAATATCCATTTTTGTTCCAAGGACGTGTGGAAAATGTTTAAAGCAACATCACATTTTGGATTCTCAAGTTTTTTTGTCTGCGTGGGAATGTGAAGCAAATTACTCTTTAGAGTATTTTAAATTGAATTTAAAATTGCCTATTTTTGCTAGAGTGTGCTCATTTTCTCTAGAAAAAGCCAGCTGAAAAGACTTTGGTAAAAGAATGGCGAATTGAGGATTACACTTTCCATTCCATGTTTATCAGTTTTGGACACAGGGAGATCCTTTCTCAACTGAAAAGTCCTTTGAGGGTTCTACATTAAGCTCAAGGAGATGTTCCTAAATTCTCCATCTGCCCTGTATTAAAAAGCTGTCTTGTGACGGAGCCTTCTTTCTCATCATCTCACCATCAATGGAGAGAGACGCCTTCAAAACAGACAACTATTATTGGGGGTGGTTTGTTCTCCGAGCTTGTTTCATTTCCGAAGGTTTCCTCACCAGGCTAGGTAACGTTCGTCAGCGGAACTTCAGTTGAAGTGTCTTATTTCAATTCTCTTCTGCTTTTATAGGTCTTAGGTGGTCTGTTGGTCACGTGACCGACTGGTCCCGCTGTGAGGGTCAGCTGGTGGGTGAGGTCACAGACAGCTGCTTGACTTATGGGGAAGATCCGCCTTTCATTTGGCTCCTTCCTTCCAGATCGCTGTGATTTTCCCACATTGTAAAGCTGTCGGGAAGTTTGTGATCCTGGGGAAGAATTCTGCCAAGCCCCCACTGTCACTGCTAAGGCCAACCCAAGGATTATTTGGGAGTGAGCAGGTTGGAAGGAGCCCTTGTAGGACGTTGGTTCCCCAACACTACCGGCATGCAGAGGGTTTTAAATTTGGGCTTCTCTTCATTTTACTTGACTGCTGTTGCTTTAGGTTGATTAGCCAAAGCTCAGACTTTGCCACGATTAATAGGGGGTTTCTGTGGCTCTTGGGAATGGTCTTTGCCACCACGTGGGCCAAGAGCGTCTCTTCCTGGCCAACCAAGAATGGGTAATTCTGCACAGCAGCCTTCAAAAGGTGGTCAGTCTTATGCCGTGGCTCCCAGCCTTTAGGAACAAAAGGCCCAAGCACGGACTGAAGAAAGCTTTTGCAAGAAATGGACACACTCGGCTCCAAGCCACACACTGCAGTCCATCGCAAGCCAAGCCAAGTCCAAAGGCTTCCCAGGCAAATGCGCAAATATTTTAATGCAAAGTCTGTGAAGCAGAGATGGGTCCCACGTAATCTATCACAAGGGGGCACAGTTTTCTCTCCATTATTGATGACAGTGAACTAATTCATTTGAAGATCATGAAAACACTCGGAAGGCCGTTGGTGCTGAAGATTTCCCTATGTAACACACTCTTGTTTTTTGGCTGGTGGACACGGCTGCGCCACCTCCAGCGCCTGCTTGCAGCAGGAAAGGGATGGGGCAGAAGGCCTGGTCCTTGGGGCCTCATCCCAGCCCGGTCTTCTGTCTTGTGGAACCTGGAGAGCCAGATAAGATGCAGCCAGCCAGGTGGCAGACAGAAAATCCCTGGCCATTAGACAGTGTCATGCCATGTCAAACCAGAGGCATCTCAGGGGCTCCCATCCTGGAAGGCCACATTGTCCTATTCCAGCAGCTGTTAGGGAGTTCAAGGCAGACCAAAGTAAGAAACCAAATTATGAAAGTTAATATTACCTTTATTCTAAGGTTATAGTGACAGAACCTTTCAATTATGAACATGCATCCCTGCTTTCTTCCTGAGAGTTAAGGAGAGTCTAGTCTGAGATGCTTTTTCTGGTTACAGGTCAGCCCCAGACTCGGGTTTCTTTTATCTGACTGTTGTCTTGGTAGCAACTCGTCCTCATGTCTCCCAAGTCCACGCATCAAGCGTTTAAAGACCAGTGGCCATGACACCTCTCCTCTAGGACTGTTGCCGTTTATAAATTTGGAAAACTGGAGGCCGTCATCATGTCTGAAGGTCACTTGTTGATCGAGAGGCAAGCTGGTCTTGTGAAGAGCTTGGTTTCATTGCAAGGACGAGAAGCCGTTTCTTAGAAGCTGCTGCTGGTCTCTCCATCTTGCATCCTTCCTGCACAGGAACAGACGCCAGTGTCCAAGGCAGGCGAACTGAGCAAAGGAACAAGTTCAGGACATTTTTGTAAACATCTTGCCAGACAGCAGGGACACAATTCTGCTGTCTTCCTAAGGCTCCAGCCCAGATCGTTCATCCACACTCAAGGATCCTAAGGTTCAAGGGCCTCCTTGGCTCCCATTTCTTCTTCTGTTGCTGCTCATGTGTAAGAGAGGATTCCAGAGCCAGGTGGACGTCCTCCCACCGGCTCAACCCTTTTGTACGCGTCTTCTTAGGCAGTTCCCACCCACCCTTAGTGCCGCCTTCTGACCAGGGAAGGACAGCCCCAGAGGAATTCCCAACCACTAGGCCTTTTCTACGTCAACTCACAGAATTCAAACATTCAATTCAATTCAGAATGGGACCTTGGAGGTCTTCTAGTCCAACCCCGCCCTATACCCTTTCAGACAAGTGACTGTCCAGACTCTTCTTAAAAACCTCCAGTGATGGAGCGCCCACAACTTCTGGAGGCAAGGCCATTCCACTGGTTAATTGTTCTCCCCCTGCCTCGAAGCAGTCCCAGCTGACCAAGTCCTGCCTGCCCCTCTGCCTTTCAGCCCTCCGTCCCCATAAATGGGACAGATCCCTAATCTTTCCCCCTTATGCGCTGGAGACGTTGGTTCTTAACGGGTTGTTCCTGGTGGCCAGGAAGAAAAGGGATCTTCCAGTGCAGGGGATGAGCAGAGGCTTCCTGGTTGAGAGGGAGGTCCAGAAGGATGGCATCTCCCTGGTCAGCAAAAGCATCAGGCCAAACGCAACTCGATCCCTTGCTCATCCCGTGTGCTCACAACATTGGAAAAGGGGAGGCTAAGAAAAGAGGCATTCGCTTTTGGGCTGAACCGTTCCACTCCGAGTGCCACACTTTTCAGGCGGAAGGAACCAGAACGGCACCTGAACTGATCTGAGTAGGGTCTCTACTGCTTCTCACCTATTCTTGCACTCTTGCCAGACTTATTTACGCTCTCTTGAGAACCACCGGATAAGCCCTCCAGGGATTGGGGGGAGGGGTCAGATCTCGTTTGCCTCTGCAGGGATTCCAAGCTAGAGACTCTCTTAATTCCACTCTCCCCAGCTTTTCAGCTACAGGTTCCACCACAGGTTAGCAAAAAAGAACAAACAAGCTTTCAGTCCCTTTTTGTTTTGTCCCGGGAAATAATCTACACCAGCACAGTTGGCTGGGGAATTTTGGGACTTGAAGTCCACAAGTCTTAAAGTTGCCAAGTTTGGAGAGCCTGGCCCAGACACTGAGTAACACAATTCCTTCTCTCAGAAAGGCTGGCTATCCCCATGGCTCAGAGAGCTTCCCCTTGGTCTATTCGGAGCAAAACTTCAGTTGGTTTCCCAGAGTCCTGGGGGGGCTTCCAGGGCTGATGACAAACACCAGCAGGAAGCTAGCCACCCTCCCTCCCTCCCTCCCAGGCAAGCAAATTCTGGCACATGGGGGACGTGGCCCCTGAAGCTGAACCAGAGAGTCCTCACAGAATCACAGAGTTGGAAGGGACCTTGGAGGTCTTCTAGCTCAAGCAGGAAACCCTCTCCCATTTCAGACAAATACTCCTGGCACTCCCCAGGGTGGATTTCTCCCTGCCCAGAGATCCTGCTCCCCCCAAATCCCCACCTCTGCTGCAGGGACAGGTGGTGGACCACAGGAATTAAGGACTTTAGGGGGTTTAGGAGACTAATGTTAGCGTTGGAAAGCTGGAGGGGGGGTCGATTCCTGGGTAGGGTCAGGCACCCAATCAACCTCAGTGTGTCTGGGAGAGAAAGCCTGCACAGAAGGACCCCTGCAGAATTGCTCACGGGGGTGGCAGGGGTATCTTCCCTGAGGGTTCTGCAGAATCTGGCCTTGCTGGTTGTGTGGGGAGTGTGTGTGTGTGTGTGCACCTGTTTTGTGTCTGGGCACCTCTCTCACCACTGCTTCTCCCTCTCTCCCTCTCTCTCTCTTTCTGTGTCTCTGTCTTCACAGACTTTTCAGTAGTTTAGGAGAACTAAGCACCATTTCCCAGCGCAGCTCTGGCACCACCTACACCGTGCGTCCTGGCAGCCGCTACCCTGTGACCCGCCGCACTCCCAGTCCGGTAAAGCCTGCCCTGGATAGGACAGACCCCCTGAGCACCGTCCGGCCCTACGGGCTCACCCCGCCCACCATCCTCAAATCTTCCAGCCTTTCCATCCCACACGAACCCAAGGAGGTACGCTTCGTGGTACGCAGCGTCAGTGCCCGGAGCCGCTCCCCTTCCCCCTCCCCTTCCCCGGGGCCCCCCCTGCATTCCCTCCACCCCCCACGGCCCTTCATGCAGAAACCCCTCCAGCTTTGGAACAAATACGACGTGGGGGACTGGCTGGAGAGCATTAACCTGGTGGAGCATCGAGACAAATTTGAGGACAATGAAATTGAGGGCACCCACCTGCCCGCCCTGACCAAGGAGGACTTTGTGGAGCTGGGGGTGACGCGGGTGGGGCACCGCATGAACATTGAACGGGCACTGAAGCAGCTGGCAGACAGCTGACCATCCCGGCAGCCCGGGCTCCTCTCCCGGGGCCGTGTCACTCAGGGGCAGGCGGGGCCGTTCCTGCTAGGCCAGTAGACAGGAGCCCACCGGATGCTCTTCCTGTCCTGCTCGGACTGCTGCACTGAAAGACGGGGGGTGGGCAGGCACCTCCTCTCCCTCCCACCCCACAGCTCTCCGGGCACCCTGGTGCAGACCCCCTTCCTCGGGTATAGGCATGGGCCACGGAAGCTCACCCCCTCCCCAAGAGAGTCACTGCTGGACAGGCGGTTCTGGGGAAGGAGAGGCGCTCCCCTCTTGGAGAACACCTTGGCAGCGTGTCCTGCCCACGTGGCATGGGTCCCAAGGGGAGGCCAGAGGGACAAGGTGTTAAGAGGGGAAGGGGGTCCTTGCGCTGGGGTTGCAAGGCTCCAGCCGGGCCTTAACGGTATTCGTACGTTGTGGTGCTGTGGCTGCTTGCGTTGCATTCGGCCTTCGGAAGACCAGATGCTAACTGGCCAGTGAGGGTTTTTGGGGAAGAGGCTCAGTGCGTTGGCCGCAGGGAGGCTGGCTGGCACCCAAGCGACTGCTGCTGGAGGAATTCTCCCTGTGAAGGTCAGCAGGAGCTCCTAAGAGAGGTCAAGGGGCAGAAGTGGGAACACCGCTCAGGAGGGGCCCCATCCACCCCAGTTCCTACCCCACCCGCAGCCCCGGGCCCTGACCCTGCCCTGCAAGGACCCAGCAGGGCCAGGAAGAGGAGAAGACCAGGAGAGGCACCCCCATGGAGAGCGGGCACTGCCGCCTGGAGGACTGTTGCCATGCCCTGGCACGCAAGCAGGGCTGATGTCGCATGGATCGAAGCATGCTTGGGGCGCAAAGAGAGGCGAAGGGCGGATCTGGCAGCTGCTGCTTGGCCAGCCCTGGTGGGGAGGGGGGAGGCCTCGTTTGGCTTTGGGGGTGCGGGACACGTTGAAGGGGGTCTCTTAATCTCTCTGCATTTCTGTAGGTTTGGTGATCCCAAGGAGAGGATGCCCAACAGCAGGAACCCACCCCCCTCTCCGCCCTAGTCACTCATTTTTGCATCTTTTTAATCAGCTATATATTTGAAAAGGAAAAAAAAAGAACAAATATCTATATATCTATATCTATAGCCACCTTGTTTAGTTAACAGTTGACTGAAGCTCTATCTTTGCTGGGGGGGAGAGGGGGGGCCTGGGGGCTCCTTCCTGCAATGCTTGTGGGAGTTTTTAGTGACTGAATGAATGTGAGGGGGGGGAAGAGAATCTTTTTAAGGTTCCTTTTAGATGTGCTCAATTTTAAAGATTGGGGGTAGGAACAAAAAAAAAGGCAACATTGCACTGGCTTCTGGGGACCCGTGTGAAGTCTTCCATTCTTGCTGGACAGGCCCTGACTGGAGTAGCTGCTTCCCCCCATTACACACACACACACACACACACACACACACCTGTCTTTCCCTTGCGCAAGCCCCTTCCCCTGCTTTCCTGGGGAAGAACAGAGAGGAGCAAGCGGGGAAGAACCCAAGTCTTTCGCCTTCCCTCTCCCCTCTTGAAGCCAGGGAGCCCGAACCGCAGAGCGGCTGCACCCAAAATACCCACAGAGGGTGGGGGTCCCCAACCCTTTGCAGAGCCCAGGCCCTGTGGAAGGAAGGGCAGTCCTGAGGGCCTCCCAGCTGGGGCTGGTCTCGGATCCCCCCTGTGGTTGGTCCATCCCCTTTTCTTTAAGAGGCCAAAGAAATGCCCCCCCCCGGTCACAAGTGGCCCCCCTGCACCCCTACCCTTCTGCACCTGGGGCTCCTCTGGGGGGAATGTTCCCTCCCTACAGGCCTGGCCTAAAATCAGAGGAGACCCAGCGGCACCTTTTAAGATGAGCCCATTTTTATTTTCAAGGTGTAATCTTAAAAATAAGGATGAGTCCAAAGGTGCTACCGGAGCCTTCCTGATCTCTTTGGCACCCCAGAAGAGAGTGGCTGTTTTCCTACCACACTGCCCGGCCTAGAAGGGACACCACAGCAGGGAGCTTCCACCTTGGTGCGAGGGAGGCTGAGCCAGCTGAGTGGCTGTGCTTGGAAGGAGCCCACCTCCCTCTTTTTCCTCCCCAGACCCAGAGGAGTCTCACACCTGGGACCCTGGAGCAGGTTGGGGGAAAGAGACGGGCCAAACCAGGAGCCTCCATCTAGGGCAGCCCAGCCAGTTCCTTTGCAGGGTCGTTAGATCTTCTGGTGCTAGAGGGACGGGCCCTCACTGACCCCCATAGATCCCCAGATTCCACCCCCCCACTTTTACCAATCGCCAACAGAAACCTGCTTTCTGCTAAAGGCTCTCAAGCGTCTGCTCTGTAGAAGGGCTGGCCAGCGCATGGTCTTGAAGGCCCCAGGAGAGCCAGGCAGGGAGCCAGCTTAGCTGGGGGTGGGCTGCTCTCTCCTTCCTGGAAGGAGCTCAGTGGGCCTTGGCATCTGCCAGGAATGCTTGCCACGACAGCCCCCCCCCAATCCATTGACCTACAACCCCAGAACCTACCAGGCCTTTCTGCAATCCTTCCCCACCCCCGAATTGACCCCCCTTAGGGAAGAGTGAGAGGAGGGGGCCAGGTCTATCCCCTCCCCGTCCCTGAACAGACACCCACCATGGTGGCACTACCAAATTTTAAATCTCCCAGTCACAGGAGGAGGAAGGAAAGCAGCTGTGTTCCAATTCCAAACGTTTAAGAAGCCCCAACATCCCAGGGACACCTAGCAAAGCCTGGACATTTTCCCCATCCACATGAAAACCTTGTTTCGGGCCAGTCGCGCACAAGTTGTGTGATAAGAGTTTTAAATGTCAGCAAACGCTGGGCCCGTCCCACATCTGGTGCTCTCCAACCGCGTCAGGCTGCAGTTCCCATCATCCCCAGCTAGTGTGCTGGGGGGGGGGCAGCTTCCTCTGAAGTCTTCTAGTCCAACCCCTTGCTCAAGCAGGAGGGCCCCCCCCATCATTTCAGACAAATGGTTGTCCCATCTCTTCTTGAACAACCCCCCCCCCCCCCCCCATCCCCGTGGTGGAGCCCCCACAACTTCTGAAGGGAAAGTCCTTCACAGGTTAATTGTCCTCCCTGTCTGGAAATTCTTCCTTCTGGGCTGTCTCTCTCCTGAATGGACTTCCACCCGTTGCTTCTTGTCCCGCCTTCTGGTGCTTTGGCGAATAGGTGGAGCCCCTCTTCTCTGGGGCAGCCCCTCAAATACCGGAAGGCTGCTATCATGTCACCACCTTGATCTTTTCTTGCCTATTTTAGAAATGGGCCAGGAAACCCCCCCCCCCCGCCTTGGAAAGGGGCCCCCTGGGGCCTTCGTTCTGGGGTGTCTCCAGACTTCATGAGCCCCAAAGGTTTGTGATTGACCCCCAAGACTCTCTTAGGGCCCAACCCAGCAAACGGCTTCTCCTCCCTCCTGCGCTGGGGGTCTAGTCCCTGCAAAGCAGACGCCAAAGAAGCGGTCAGAGGCTGCTTCCATTTCGCTGCCACAGCCAGGCAAGATCCAAGGCGTCCACCGGACCCCACCTGGATTTCCAAAGGCTTCTGGAGTGTTCAGAAGGAGACCCGCCTTCTCCAGAGGGGGGGCTCTAGCCTTCATCTTTCGGGGTCTCAGAGGCCCAAGTAAACATATAACCTTCCCCCGCCCCAATTTTTCTGGAGCTGCCCGCAATCGCTCTTTTGTGTTGGCACAAGCTTTGGGTTGCGAGCGAGGGCGCCGCCGCCGCCCCCCTCCCAAGGCCAGGGAAGGTCATCAGACTGGCTAAGGTACGCACCCACGCGCGGCAGGCGCTTTCTCCGCTCCACGTGCCCTGGAGCCGGTGTCTCCGTCCCTTTCGCAGCTGTTTCTGGGACCAGAGGAGACGCGTCTGCCCGGCCGCCTGCCCGGCCTCCTCCCCTTGGAGGCCCGAAGACTGCAGACCCCTCCCCAGACTTCCCTCCCCTCGTCTGCAGGAAGTTCCCTTCGGGACCGGGAAAGCTGGACGCCCCCTCCCCTCGAGGGTCGCAGGAGAGGCTTTTGCTCTCTCTCCTGCCAACCAAGGAGGCCAGCGCATCCCGCTAAGCAGCTGCAGCCGTACCTGTGTTGGCAAACACTGCGTGACGCCCCCCGGAGCCTCGGCTGACCGGAGCGGGGCCACCACGGCTAAGTCCCGACGGCAGGCATCGCGCGAGGGAACGCGAAGCTCGGCCCAGCCCTGATGCTCAAGCGGCTCCTCGGCCCCCTTGTCTGGGCTGGAGCGGGAGGAGACCTCAGGCGGCAGCTCTGGCAAGGAACCGCCCAAGCAGCCCCCTTCCTTCTGAGCCCCAAGGCCGCCCCCCCCCCAATAAAGCTCAAGCCCTGCTGTTCTCAAATCCCCTCCGCGTGACGGCTGGGAGGCCGTGGACGGTGCAGTAACCTCAAGGGATCCCGGGGTGTTGGAGGGTTGTGTGCAGAGGGAACCGCAGCCCCTGCCCCTCCCCTCTTCAGAAGCCTCCCTTCTTTTAGACAGGGGCTCTTCCGTGCTTGGCGTAGAACAGGCTGTGCTGACTGGGGTTGCTTCCCCCTTTGGCCCATGGAGCGAATTCAGCCCCCCGTTGGGGAAGCCCTGGATGGGCCTGTTCCCAAACCAAGAGGATGGGGGGGTCCGTTTCCCCTGCAAAGGCAGCAGAGCCCACAGCCCAGCCGTGCGGGGAAGCCTCCGCAAAGCAGGATCCACACAGCCAGGAGGGCCACGCCAGGGAGATCGAGGCACAATGTGGCTGAGCGTGGATTGCGCCATCCCAGTGGCCACCGTGGCCTGGGGGGCCAGACCCCAAGGGCTCCCAGCTGGCATGCAGAGAGTGGGTGGGAATCCCGACATGCTCAGAGGGCGCCAGGTTGGGGAAGAGAGGCCTGCAGCGAAACGGCTGATGGACTCTTGTGCCAGAATGCCTTCCACACACACAGCCCCTTCCACCTTTTCCAAAACAACAAAAATAGCCCCAGTGGACGTCTCACTGCTGGGTGGGGGTCTGCATCAGCCAGGGACCTTCCCAGTCACTGCCCTGAAGGGGAAGCTGCCCAAAGCCCCCCCCCCCACACACCCCCACACCCCAGCAAGAGGCAGGAAAGGTCACTCCTTTGATCCGGTACCTTGACCCCTAAATACCCACTCAAAGAACAAGCTGGGCAGAGCAGGGGAAGGGCCCCGCTGCCCCTCTCCAGAGGAGAAGCAGCCACTCTTGAGGGCACCTTCCGGTCGCCAAAGGCAGCCGCAGCTGTCCACAGAAAAGCCACCGCAACCTCTTCCTCATGGTTCGGCTTTCAGCTTTGCAAGGGGACGCCCCCCCCCCCACCACCACAAGGTTCACCTGGAAGGGGAGACAGCAGGGAAGACGGCCTTGGCTGCCTGTCCAGCCGGCTGCAGGCTCACCCTTTGTGAAAACGCTCAACTCCTCCCCTGCAGCACCCCGGACCCCAGTGCGAGTCACGTCCTGCTTAGCAAGCTCCCTCATCTGCTTCTGCCTTCGCTTCCCCAGCTGCCACAAGAGGCTTGGCCATGGCTGCCCTCCTCTCCTGTCGCGCTTAAACTGGCTGCTTGGCAAGAAGGACCCGCTTGTGCCCCGTCGGCGTCCCTGGCCTTGGCACCTCCCCAGCTGGAGCGAAGCATGTTGCTTGCATGCCCCAGCTTGCCCGTCCCTGGTTCGGATTGCACCCTCCACCCTCCACCCATCCTCAAGGACCTCGCAGCAAACCTCTTCCTCCATTCCCAAAGCCATCCCAGAGAAGGCTGGCGGGGCTCCTGGGGGGGAGTCCTCCTGAGACCCCCCCTCCACCAGGTGTGAACCTCAGCTGCCCCGGACAGACTGTGATTTTTCTCATGACTCCTCAGTGACTTTTGTTACCTCTGGATAAAGTTGGGTCAGGAGGTTTTGCTTTGAGATTTTCTTAAGGTTGCTGGCTTTCCGTTGGGGTCTTGATGTGGTCCTTTAATTCCCCGCCCCCCCCCCCCCCCGAGATGCCCATTCACCTCTCTGGGCTTTGGAAACAAGCAGGGACCCCTGCGCCCCTCCCCCCCAGCCGCCTCTGAAGGGCCAGGAGCTCCTGCAGCTGCTGCCTGGTGGGGCCAGAAACAAGCAGAGCTCCCAGCTCTGCGTCCCAGGACAAAATGCCCACGGCCTCACCCCCCCCCCCCCCCGTCCCCCCCCCCCTCCCCCCCCCTGCTGCTGCCCCCCTTGGTTTGGCTGAAGGTTTATTAATTGACAGGGTCAGTTTGACGTCACCCCTTATTTTATACCGATTTCCTGAGGAAGTCCGTCTTCTGCAGAGTAAGGGAGGCTTGACTCACTCACCTCCTGACCCGATGTTGTGATAACGCCCCCCCCACACACACAGAGATCTATGTTTCTTATATTATTATTATTATTATTACTACTATTATTATTATTATTATTATGTAATAAATTTATAAGAAATCACTGGACTGTTGTTTGGTTATTGCTGCTATTGAGAGGTGGTGTCAGACCTGCCTCAGCTTGGGCTTCTAAGCAAAAACGATCCTTAACTCCATTTGTTGAGAAAGGTATAGTTTGCAAGAAGTGGATTACAGTAGCGTAAAGCCAGAACTGAAGAGTTCACGCCAGATTTTTGCCAGTTAAACTTTCCTCCCTTTCCCATTGTTTGTCTCTCCTTGTCCAATCAAGTATAAAAGAGATGTTTTGGAAACAGTCACTCTACGTGGTAGCATTCTTCTCCTTGCAGACGTGTAAGTTCTCACAGTTCAGTGTCAGTTTCCCCCAGGCCTTCTCCCTCCCTTCCAGCCTCCCACCCCCGGGATTCTTGGCAGACTGGCAGTAAGTTCTGACAAGTGGGATTCAATGCTAGGACAGTACAGATAGTCCTCGCTTGAACATCTATTTGTTTAGTGACTGTTCAAAGTTACAAAAGCAGTGAAAAAAATAACTTATAACCGGTCCTCGCACTTATGACCATTGCAGCATCTCCACTGTCACATGATCAAAATTCAGGTGCTTGGCAAACCAACGTGTATTTATGGTTGTTGCAGTGTCCCAGGGTCACATGATCCAGCCAGCTTCCAACCAACAAAGTCAACGGGGGAAGCCGGATTCACTTAACAATTGCAGTGTTAAACAATTGTGGCCCAAAAAAGGATAATAAACGTGAGTGTGACTGCCTTGCTTAACAGGGGAAATTCTGACTATTCCCAGGCAAAGGTTACCCTTTTCCCCCTGGCCCTGGCCCTTCCCCTTTGGACCAGGCCATCAGTGTCCAGTGGGATGCTCTTTCGATGCCTTGGGAGCAGCTCAGGCGTTTGGCATCTCTCACACTCTGGTTTTGCATTCGGTTCCCGGGCCGGGTGTCCTTGGAGGCTGGCTCCTTCCGGTTTGGCACCTGTGGTTCTTGTCATGTCACCCCCTCTGCTGCTTATCTTCCCCTTCTCAGGCCCACATCTTGCTGCCCCCAGTGCTTCCCTCCCTCCCTCCCTTGCAATTGATGGAGCTGAAGAGGGCGGGTCTGACCGTCATCGGATGAGGCCTCCCTGTCCAGGTGTCCAGACCTTGCCCTGCACAGGTACCGTTTAAAGGCACCCATAAATGAGGGCTGTGGGGAGCCAGCGCTAGTCTGCTCAACAACCGGTTGCCCATCGGCACTCGTTAAGTGAGTTTTCCCCCATTTTACGACCTTTCTTGCCAACAGCTGTTAAGTGAATCACTGCAGTTAAGTTAGCAACACGGTTGTTAAGTGAATCCCCCCTTGACTTTGCTGGTCAGAAGGTCGCCAAAGGGGATCGTGTAATCCCGGGACACTGCAACCGTCGTAAGTACAGGCCAAGCCTCTGGATTTTGACCATGTGACCCTGGGGATGCTGCAAAGGTAGCTGAGGAGGAGAAAGGGCCGTGTCACTTTTTCCAGGGCCTCCTTTGTAACTTTGAACGGTCACTAAACGAAGTGCTATGTATACGTGCACCACGGGGCCACCCCTCCCCCCGCCTGCAAGCAGAGCCTGAAGATGCCCTGGGGTGAGGCTCCCATTTTAGCCCCAAGCCAGGCGCAGGGCTCCCACGGGGCTGCTGGGGGTCCCTTACAACCCCAGCAGCTGCCATTGGGCTCACGGCTGCCTTTCAGGCCAGGCCAATCAACCCATCGGAAGAGAGCTGGAAGGGGCCTTGGGGGTCTTCTAGTCCAACCCCCTGCTCAAGCAGGAGACCCTCTTAAAAGCCTCCAGGGCTGGAGCCCCCACAACCTCTGGAGGCAAAAGCTGCTCCGCTGATTAATTGTCCTCCCTTGTGGAAGTTCCTCCTTAATGCCAGGTTGCTTCTCTCCGTTGCTTCTTGTTCTGGTGCTTTGGAAGATCATTTGACCCTCCTCCTCTTTGTGGCAGCCCCTCAAATACTGGAACGCTGCTCTCATGTGTGTCCCCCCCTCCCCAACCCTTCTTCTCTCCAGACTGGCCACGCCCAAATCCAGACCTCATGGATGCCCGCCGACACTCGCAGGCGCCACAATCACACAGCCTCGTGGTGACACCAAGCATATATTTTATTGAAAGTCCAACTCATGACAAGGCAGTGAGTAGGGAGGGTCCCTAGTCCGGTTTGTACAAGTCCCTGCTCCTGGTGGGTGAAGTTACAGATAAATATCGTTACATGAACAGACAGCAGTGGCCACTAACGCTCAGCTCGGACCGGGTCCAGGCAGGCGGGCTGGCAAGCAGATGCGTTCACCAGGCACAGCAGGGGCGTGGAGGGGGGCAGAGAGGAGAGCCAGGGAGGGGGGGACTCCCGAGGGGCCTGCAGCCAGGCTGACCCTCTACCAGTGCCCTGGGGGCTCAGCAAAAGAAAACTAGCGGGGTGGGGGGGGCTCCTGGGTTCTCTGCAAATGGTGATGCGTGGAGTAGTCCTTCCTCATCTCTTCACCCCCTCCCCCACCAGAAGGGGCCTCCTAGCCACAGCAGGAGCAGAGGGAAGGAAGGAGCCCTCTGCACACACACCGCGGACAGGTGGACCCCCATTTCCCCACTTCCGCCAAGGAGCTGCCTGCAGAAACGCCCTGTGGGTTCCCGGCTGCCATGCAGCATGCGGGGGGGGGTCTATCTTGCACTCCCCCCAACTCAGCTTTCCCCATGGCAGGTGAGAATTAGCAGGAAAATATGCGGGGGTGGGGGGGTAGGCAGGTGATGGGGGGGAGGTGTGTGCACACATACAGCCCCTCTTCCTGAAAAACTGATCTACGGAGCCAGAGCAGCGAGGCCAGGCAGAGCGGGGAATGGGGGAGGCATTGCCCTCCCCCACAAGAAGGAAGGGAGGGAGGCTGGCAGATGGAAGCCCTTTCCCCAGGCAAGCTCCTTCGAGGGAGGGGCCGATCCCTCCCAGCCTTCCTTCCAGCCCAAACAAGGGACCTCATACAAAGGCCGTAGTTCTTGGGAAGCCCCCCCCCCCCAAACAAGCAGGAAAGCTATGCCTTCTCAGGGTCCTACAGCCCCCCTCGCACCCCCATTTCCTCCCTACCAAGCACCCTCTGAGAGGCTGGCCTCTGGCTGCTCCCCTGACCACACTGGGATATTGGGGGGGGCAGGTGGGGAATTGGGAAAGGGGGAGAGAGGGCAAGATGCCCACCAGGCTAGCCTGGGCCCCAAAGCCCCCAATGCCAGGCCCCACTCGTGCAGGGAAGTCGTGGGCTCGGCTGCCTGGCAGGACTCAGGCTTCTGGGTCCGTCTCTCTGAAGGGGCGTGAAACCGGGGAGGGGGGTGGGGCTGCCCTCCAGCTCACGTCCTACTCCAGGTATATGTCTTCTGTGGGGCAAGCAAACTCAAGGTGCTCCTGGTAGTATTCCTGAAAGGCGCGGCTACAAAGAGGAGGAAGAGCTGAGTTAGTAGTAACCCTGTTCAGTGGGGGAGAAGGCCACAGATGCCTGCCCTCCCCCGCTTACCTGGGAACCCCCAAGACAAAGGGGAGAGAGAGCCCATGGGCATGCACACATTCAGGACCCCTAATCCCCCCTTTCTTTGGAGGAGACCAAACTCCCCCCCCCCCCAGAGAAGAAACACGTAGCTTGGCACAATCTGTCCACAGGAGCCACGGAGGGTCTCCCACGGCACTCACTTCCACCCCCACCAGGTGCACCACTTGGGGTGGTGCCTAGCTCACACCAAGTCCCAGCAGTGTCCCAAGATAGGTGGGGCTGCCCCTGTGCCAATAGGTGCCGTGGGAGGGGCTGCTGCTGCTGCTATTGAGACCCCCTCCCTGGGTGAGGTCATCTCTTTGGGCAAAGACGGGCTGAGGAGACTTGGGGTGCAAGGAACGGAATTGGTGCCATCCGAATCAGAAGGCCAGATCGTTCTCCACGCCCAAGAAGACCCCGCCTCACCCCTCTAGAGGGGCACAGCCGGATCCTTAGGAGCCTTCACCCGGCCCAACCCCACCAGCACCCCAGCAAAGGAGGGAGGGGCGGAATTGCTGCTGGGCCACCTGCTCTCCCAGTGGCAGGGCGAGACTGGGGGGCTCTGGGCACCTGGCACTGGCACTTCGGCCATCTTGCCAATTCGGGTCCCCCCAGCCTGAAGGGTTGCTCTGCCCTGAAGAGTTGGGGTGCCTGTTGCTGCTAGGACACCCTCCGCCTCCTTGGGTGGCACCGACGTTGCTGGAGCAGCGCCTCCCTGCCCACTTACCCGACACACTCAGCCACAGGCCGCATGGACTCCTGCGAAACGAAGACGTGGCAGGCGAAGCGACTCAGGACGGGGTGCTTGGTGATGAACCCAAAATAGCTGCAGGAGAAGACCAACAGTGGTGAGGCCAAGTGGGCAGAGCTGCCCCTGATCGCACAGCTGCCAAGGGGGAGGGGCAAGGGGCACGTCTGTCGAGCTGGGAGGGGCCGGGGGAAGGAAGGAAGGAAGGAAGGAAGGAAGGAAGGAAGGAAGGAAGGAAGGAAGGAAGGAAGGAAGGAAGGCAGCCATGTTTGCCCAAAAGAGCCTGGCCCACTGGCCGGTGCCAACCCTGCCTCCTTGGTTCTGCAGAGTGTCGGAGGCTGTACGACACCAGAGTCTCAAACCCATCCTGGCACCAGCAGCAGCACCAGCTCTGTGTGGCTTTGCCATTGCCCGCCTTTCCTGCCACAGAGCCTTGGCTGACCGGGGCCAGCAGCTGCCAGGGAGGGAGCAGACCCACAAGAGGGCTCCAGTGGCCCATTTGCAAAGAGAGAGGCCCCCCACCACTGCTGCATTTCCCTCCACAGGGGCAGAACCTGCCAATTCAGCCCGTGCCATCCCAAGCGGGCAACCCTGGCAGAAGGAGCCACTCACCAGCTATTGCGAGGATGGCAGCCGCAGAAGGAGACATTCTTCATCTGGAAGAAATGGCTGCAGCGCTCCAACTAGGAGGGAGGGAGGGAGGGAAGGGAAGGGGCAGTGAGGAGGCAGCCATGCCAGCCGCCCCTGCCCGGCCTTGAGTAGGAGGGCCTTTCCGAAGTCACTGTCATGGGCTGCCCATCTGACCTGGCCTTCTTGCCCACTCAGAGGCTACATCCCCCACAATCCGTGGCGCTTGGCATGGGCGTTGGGGGCCCCACCAGCAAAAGAGCCAGCCAGCGCTGTGCCCCATAGGCTTCAAAATGGTCCCCGAGATTCTGGGCACAGCCCTGCCTCTGCCCATTGCACCTCTGGGACAAAGAGGTGGCCGAGAGAGGGGAATCCAGGCCATCGGTGGGGAGGGCCAAGAGATCTGGCGGCCACCCCCCATCAAAGGTTTGCCCCTCCTCTCCAGGGAACTCTCCAGGGAACTGGGCAAGAGCCCAGCCTCCCACCAGTCAGAGCACCATGGCTGCGCCAACCTCCCTGCCAAGCCCTCCTGGCCTTGGACCAGGCCGTCCTGCAGCAGGCTTCACATGGTTAATAAGCTAACTAACATTTAGGTGTGGCCAAAGTGAGTTTGCACAACCCCTTAGAGCCCCACCAGTCTCTCCAGCCAAAGCGGCTGAAGGCATCCTGCGGTGACTCTGAGCAGGTGAGCAGAGAGTTTCTGCAGGTGGAAGGCAGGTAGAGTTGAGTCTGCAGCTGACAAGGCTGGCTCCTACTCGGAAGTAGCCCCCGCTCCCTTTCCAATGGCCCCCTCCCCTCCCCTCCCCTCCTCCCCACGGCAGACCCTCACCTCTTCGTCCTGACTGTATTCATTGACGGTCAGAATGAGTTTGATGCCCTGCAGGCTGATTTCCAGGTCACAGGTGGCTGGAGGCCTCAGGTGGACGGTCAGCTTCCGGGTGGTGGCAATCTGCAGAGAGGAGCAGAGCAAGGCTCCACCAACCCTGGCAAGCGGGACCCTGCACGGAGGACCCCTCCCCACAGGACTCACACACAGGTTGGCCTAAGCCTATTCGCTGGGCGAGAATAACCTGGGGTTCGGGTCAGGTGATGGGTAGCCGGACATCCCAGGGCAGGGAGCACGCGTGTTAAGCGTCCCGCAAGGCTTCCTTCCAGCATTGGCTCAGCCTGGGGCCTCCCCCAGGGCAGCTGGAAGGAGACCATCAGCCCCGAAAAAGGACTGGCAGAAACGGGAGGCCACCCGATCATTCTCTACACACCACGACTCTCACAATCGGAATCTGCCATGGAAACCTGGACAGCAATTAGTCAGAGAAGGTTCCGGTGGCAGGAAGGGGTGACTTCTAGCCAGGTCTGTTTAAACTGGAGCCTGATCCAGGGCAAGATCCCCCTGGCTCTGCTCTCCCAAGGAGAAGCTGGACAGCCGGATCCATAGGAACCATGGAGGTTATTGCCAATATTGGCAACACAAAAGTTGGTTGATCCTATCAACGGGGACCGTGGGAACATCCCAGAAACTTTGCCTCCTCTGGTGAGAGAAGGCCCCTCCGAAGTGCCCTGGAAGCCTGTAAGAACTACGTCCCCTTGAGGGCAGTCCTGCCCAATGACTAAGTGACCTAAATATCCGGCCACAGGCTTAGCCACTCTAGTAACCGCTCATACATCATTTAATTTTATTCATCGCTCATATTGGGTTTTTTAAAATAATTCACTGTAATCCCAAAGGTGCTTATTCAAAAGGCAACTGGACTTTCTTGGTTTTTTTCCTTGAAGACATTTCACTTCCCACCCGAGAAGCTTCTTCTGTTCTAAAGAAGTTCTTCAGTTCTTCTTCTTGAATGAGAAGCGAAACGTTTTCCAAGAAAAAAACCAAGAAAGTCCGGTTGCCTTTTTTAAAAAAAAACCTTTAGGACAACCCTGATCTGGATGACTGAATTGCCATAGAAATTCAGTGTAATGATACACATTTTACGTGCTGTTTTTGTGAATCTTGTGCACTAATGCCATATTCTGTTACCCCCATTGAAAGGAATAAAATTGAAGAAGCTGGAAGAAGGCTGCTGGCTCTTGCGCTTAGGGCGGTGCAGGCCCAGCCCCGCTAAGGCAGCCTTGGCGCCCAGACCCCTCAGCGCCCCACGGGACTCACCTTCTGCATGGCTGCACACAGAATGCCGTTGCCCTGATGGTAGGGCACCTCCACCGAGCCCAGGAACTGGACGTTGAAGTGCTCCACCCAGCAGGGGTTCCGCTTCAGCCCTGTGAGGAATGCGCAGAGTCACATCTGGCCTGGCCTCCTGCAGGGACGCGTCCCCCGCCTCTGGCACCCCCCGCCCATGGAGGACCATGCCAAAAAGGGAGGTGAGTCCGGAAGGAGGCCACGGGACCCCTCTTGGGCCCATTTTCCACCACCTTCACCTCCTTAGGGACCTCTGGATGGGGAGGCCCCCAGGACCCCCCAAGTCTCGATCTGGCTTTGCAAGGCTGTGTTTTTAGGCTGCAAAGTCCTCGTGGCAGAGCCCTGCGTTTCCGTCTCACGTCACAAGGTCCTGAAAGTACCAAAACTACGGATCTGGTACTCAAACACGAGCCGGCCGTGAGCGGCAGCAGCCAAAAAAGCTAATACAATCCTCGGTTGCATAAAGAGAGACATAGAATCACAATCACGTGAAGTATTAGTACCGCTTTTTAAAGTCTTACTGAGGCCACCCCTGGAATCCTGCATCCAGTTTTGGTCACCACATTAGAGAAAAGGTGTTGAGACTTTGGGAAAAGTGCAAGAAGAGCAACTAAGACGAGGAAAGGGCCTGGAGACTAAAACATGAAGAAAGATGGCAGGACCTGGGCACGGCCAGTCCAGAGAAGAGAAGGACTGAGGGGGACATGATAGCAGCCTTCCAGTATTGGAGGCAAAGTATTTGCCCCAAAGAGGAGGGGGTCAACCAGTGGTGGGTTGCCCCTGGTTCAGACTGGTTCGCAAAAACCGGTAGTAAAACCAGCGGGAGATTCCGCCCACTGACCCGGATGTCCTGGTGGTGATCTGGGCATATGCACTGCGGGCGTGATGAGAGCCGGTAGTAACGGTAAGTAGAGCCAGGGGTGAAATGCTCCCAGTTCAGACCGGATCGCCCAATCCAGTAGCGATGGAGGTGGGTGGTTCGGAGAACCGGTAGCAAAAATCCCTGCGCCCCACCCCCACCCCCATGCCCCACTGAGCTGCATGATCGTCAGAGGCTTTTTTTAAAAAAAAGCTTTTTTTCTACGATGTCTTCGGCCGAAAAAATGCTTTTAAAAGTAAAAAAAAAAAGCCTCTGCCAATCAAGAAACTCAGCTGGGGTTTTGAATTGTTGTAATAATATATAGGTATAAGCTTGGGAGAGGAGAAAAAGGGTAGATTATTGCCAAATTGGGAGTTATAATACTATTTTGCTAAATTAGAAGTTATTATACAATGTTATAGTATAATGTCTTTTTTTTTTTTCCTTTCTTGAAATGTATGGATAAAGGGGAATGTTATAATATTAATAATATTTTTAGTAAGTAAAGGTCAGTATTTAGAGGAGGGGGTAAGTAATCTGTTATGAATTAGGTTTTTTGTTATGAAGAAGTCACAGGGGGGGACGGGTGGGGAGGGGGGGTTAGGGAGGGGGAGAGGGAGGGGAAAAAAAGGGGAAAAATTTTGTATTTGAAAACTTTTTCAATAAAAAAAAAAAAGAAACTCAGCTGGGATCATCAGAGCCTTTTGAAAGAGATTATAGAAAAAATGCTTTTAAAAGTAAAAAAAAAAATTGGCCACACCCACCCAGTCACATTACCCCCACCCCACCAAGCCACGCCCACAGAACCGGTTGTAACAAATTTTAAATTTCACCACTGGGTCAACCGATTCTCCCAAACACCCAAAGGCCGGACAAGAAGCAACGGACGGAAACTGATCAAGGAGAGAAGCAACCTGGAACTAGGGAGAAACTTCCTGACAGTGAGAACAATTAACCAGTGGAATGGAAGTTGCCTCCAGGAGTTGTGGGGGCTCCAACACCCACAGAGTTTTGAAGAAGAGACTGGATAGCCCTTTTTCTGAAAGGGTGGAGGGTCTCCTGCTTGAGCAGGGGGTTGGACTAGAAGACCTCCAAGGTCCCTTCCAGCTCTCTTCTGCTGTTGTTAAGCAGGACCTGGCTGGTCCTTGTGGTCAGCACTCAAGGCAGGAGACCCTCTCCCATCTCTTAACCCCTGGTATGTATGTCTGGAAAGCCCACCATGGAGGTGGGAGCAGGGATGGCCAACCTGCAAGGCTCTCTTGTCTTTCTGCCTCATCCCTGTCCCCCCTTCTGAGCCTCAGCACCCAGAAAGAGCAACTCCCCACCCCCCCACCCCGAGGTGCTTCCTCCTCTCAGCCCAGCCCCAGCAGCCAGCGAGCAAGAGACCGGGCCCAGCGGGCACTCTGTGGGTCCTTGGGTTGCTGCTACGCTACCAGGCACACCGTGAGCAGCTACAGAGGAAGAGAGGCAGGTTCTCCCCCTTCGCCCTCCCCGTCCCCTGCGGCGTACCTGCCATGTCCCTGGCCTGGCTCACCACCTCGTGGGCATAGAAGGCCGGGAAAATGCCACGCTCCCCCGTGCGCATGTTGTAGCCCCGGTACCAGTAGTCGTCCTCCTCCAGCTCCACCAGGATCGGGTCGTCCACGTCAAGCTCCAGCTCGTCTTCGTGGCGAGGGATGAACCTGGAAGAGAGAACAGCCCCAGGGGGCATTTCAGGAGGCCAGCCTGCCCCCTCCGCTCCTTTCTGCCCCGGCCAACAGCCATTAACACGAGCACCCCCGAAGGTGCTTTTTTCCAACAGGCACCCGGACTTTCTTGTGTTTTTTTCCTTGAAAACATTTCGCTTCTCATCCAAGAAGCTTCTTCAGTTCTAGCTTCAATTCTTCAGCTAGAACTGAAGAAGCTTCTTGGATGAGAAGCGAAATGTTTTCAAGGAAAAAAACACAAGAAAGTCCGGGTGCCTGTTGGAAAAAAGCACTTTTGGGACAACCATGTCCTGGTTGAGTGAGAATCTCTGTGGACATTGAACACCGACACGCCACCCCACTTGGCGTGGAGAGTAAAGGCCTCTGGCAGGAGATGTCAAGTGAGACCGGCCCAACCCAGCGGGCAGTTGGAGGCCCCAAATACGGAGGAGAGACACCCTGCAGGTGGGCAGAGGGCCCTCTTGAGGCCTTGCTGTCATACCTAGGAGGCGGTCAAGGGGGCACCGGCTCCTTCTTCGCCGGGCTTCTGCCTCCCCTCCCAAACTCCCTGCCCTGGATCAGTCCAGGAGGAGCACCCCAGGTGAGGCTCCTCCCACAACTCACCTGAACACAGCTCGGTGGGTCTGTTCTCTCTCCTCTCCGTTCACCATGCAAGAAAACAGACCGAAGGACTCCGTGCCTGGGGGCAGAGAACGCATCGCTGGGGAAGCCCAATCAGAGGAAAGGGGGGGGGGGGGGGGGGGAGTCTGGCTGCTCAAAGGGGGGACCAGCCAGGGCAGGGGAAGCCAGCAGCCTCCGGGAGGACAAATGCCCATCAGGCGGGTACAGCAGGAGGCACTGGCTGAGCCCGCAAAATAAGCTGGAGGAGACAGCAAAGGCTGGAGTTTTGGGGACCAAGGAAAATACGGGCAGTCCTTGACTTATGACCACAATTGAGCCCGAATTTCTATTGTTAAGTGAGACATTTATTAAGGGAGTTTTGCCCCGTTTTACAACTTTCCTTGCTTGAAGTGAATCATTGTTGGTTTTCAGTTAGCGTCACAAGTGTTAAGTGACTCTGGATTCCCCCTGGACTTTGCTAGTCAGGTCACAAAAGGGGATCAAATGACCCCCTCCCCCAAGCATCATAAATATGAGTCAGTTGCCAATCGATGGTCATAAGTGGGGAAAACGGTCATAAGTCACTTTTTTAAGTGATGTTGTAACCTTGAACTGTCACTAAATGAATGGTTGTAAGTCGAGGACTGCCCGTACATGCAAAGGCACGGAAGGGGCTGAATGCCACAGTTGCTGTTCCGGTCTCCTCAAAAGCCTCGCTTTCCCACCCCACCCCCGGTTTCCCACTTTCACCCGTCACTCACTGGAGGAGCGGGAGGTGCTGTTGACAAAGACATTGAGGAACTTCTTGGAGAAGTGGAGGTCGGCCTCCGGGGAGGAGTCCTCCGAGGAGGAGCTGCGCCCGTCAGGAGCCCCCAGCCCTTCCCCAAAGTCACTGGCGGCGTCCTCCGGGTCGGTGGCGTCGCAGGCGCGGAGCAGCTCGCTGTCGTCGCTCAGCACAGAAGTGCATCGCCTGAGGCTGACCAGCTCCAGCTGGGTGTTCTCGTCCACCACCAGGGTGTACTTGACCGAGTCGTAGGCCAGGGAGTCGTCCAGCATCACCGTGGGCGGCGGGAGGGAGAGCTCCTGGCTGAAAGGAGACCCTTTCAGGCTGCCCAGGCAGGGCACCATGTCCTCTTCAGGGGAATAGGACAGGCTGAAGCAGCGGTTGGTCTTGGCAGTGGAGACATCCAGGCCTTCCTTGGGTTCTAACCGGATGTCATCAATCATGTCGTTGTCCTCCAAGATGCCCGAGTCCAGGTCCCCATCGATGGCACCTTCCTCCTCCTCTTCCTCCTCCTCCTCCTCCGTAGTTGGGTCAGCCTTGCCGGAGGGCTCCTTGGGAGGGAGGATTTTAGTGGCAACAGGGTTGACGCAGCAGCCGGAGTAGGGCCGCCCTGGGAAGACGGGCGCAATGACGTCATTTGTGGAGTTGCTCATGAGCAGGTAGGGCCCCGTGTGCCCTGCCTGAGGGCCCTTCTCCACTGCAGGCTGGGCCCCCAGCGGCTTCTCCTCCTCAGCCCCCTGCAGCGAGCAGCGCAGCGTCTCCATGTCCACCAGCTCGATGCTCTGTTGGGGGCAGGGCTGGGGGTCATTCAGGGCCTCGCTGGGCATCTCCGGCTCCAGGTCGGAGGCCGGAGAAATGGTGTCGGAGAGGGAGTGAGCAGCCGGGAAGCATTCGTCGGCACACTTGATGGGATAGGAGCCCTCGGAGATCATTTTGTTCACCAGGTTGCTGAGCAGCCACGGAGAGTCCGAATCCTCACTCAGGTCAGGTTCCGACTCCGAGTCCGATTCAGAATCATATTCGCTGTTCCCTTCCTCTTCTGCCCCGTCGCACAGGAGCTGATGCCCCACTGGCAGGTAAAAGGACCGCCGCAGGCTTTCCAGACTGTGGTCAGGGTTGATCTCCAGCTCCAGATGGCCTGAAGGAGGCAGCTCAGTCTGGTCGACGGGCACCGAGGGGTCTTCGTAGAACTCCTCTATTTTGAGGGGTGGCAGGCTCTCCTCTGTGGGCAGCCGCGTGCCCTCCTCTTCTTTCTTGGCATCCAGCAGGAGGGCATCTTTCAGGCCCATCACGCCCGGGGCATCCAGGTCCGCCTCCAGGTCAGCCTCGGAGCCCGGGGAGCTGGCCTCCTCGATGGAATTGGTGAGGTGGGAGGATCGGCCACTGCTGCTCTCGCTGCTCACGTCCAGCTCCGTTTCGGAGATGCTGGAAATCATGTTGCTAGCCAAGCGGCTCCCGTTCGACGCGAAGGCTGCCTCAATTTCCCCCTCCACGTCAGAGTCGGAGCTGGGGGAGCTGAGGTCCTCGCAGTGCTGGGTGCACGGGGGGAAGGCCTTGGAGGTCCGGCTGGTGAGATCGGCCTCTATGCCGGGGTCCGAGGAGGGAGACGTGGTATCGGAGGAGGCAGAGGGCAGTCCTCGCAAAGTGCCCTCTCCTTCGGAGCTCAGTGGGGCAGCCACTTCTCGTACTGGGCTTGCGTGGGGTTCTACGGACTCTCCGGGTGCACCATCCCTCAGGCGCTTGGTAGGCTCGCCCTGAGAGAGCGGGGCACGGACCCCACCCACGGGGGCTCTGTGCCCTGCTGGCTCCCCAGCCAAGCAGGCTCTCTCCTCTTTCTCCTGGCACGCCACAGCATCCCTCTGAAACTGGGCACAGTAGCTCTCCGTGGCGGGGGATCTGTGAGGGCTGCGGCTGTGGGGCTGGGAGGCGGAACTGAGGGGCGGAGGGCTGCTCCGAGCTTCAGGAGGTTTTCCGGATGTTGCGCTGGTCAAGACAGAAGGAGGCTGCAGGCCGGCCTCCCTGGAGACAACGTTCATGTTATAATCCTCCCCCCCAGGGGGGCCTCTCTGCAGACCCTGGCTATTGCCTTCGGCATCGAAAAGGGGGGGCTTGCCAGGGGCCTGGGACACAGCCGGCCCTTTGCTGCTCTGGCCATCCCTGCAGGGTCCGTCCTGGAGACAAGCGTGCAAGGGAGACGGTCGCTCTGCGGAGGAAAGACAGCGGATCCGTTTAGGCCTTGAAAAATTCAGCCATTTTACGCTCTTATCAAAAGTCTGGAAACTGAATCAAAGGCAGCATCCTGATCCTATGAGAGCCAAGAGGTTCTTTTTTCCCCTTTTTCGACCCAAAATAAAAGAATCTGTCAGCACAACCCGGTGGGAATCTTCAGCCCATTTTTTAATCAGTAACATCTGGTAGAAGAAGGCCTGAAATGCCCTTAATGCAGTTTAGTGCTCCCCCCCCCCACCAGATGGCTGGAAGGGAGGAGGAAGGGCAGGGAAGGGTGCTGCCCCCCACCCATCACTGGTCCTCACCCCACTCTCCTGCCAGCTCTGGTAGGAAGGCAGCTGCCGAATTTGGGCTGGGCGTCTGGCCACAGATGGGTCAGTCAACCCGTAGTTGCCCACCCTTCTCCCTGTTGGGGAGGGGGTCGCTCAGCTTCAAACCCCTCTGCGTTTTCCAGACCCCAGGGCTTCTGGGGCTCCCTCAGTAGAGACATGGGGAGGAGATGCCAGCAGGGGAATTCCATCAAGTAAACCCAGGCTGGTTACTCGTTGTGAGCTGAGCTGCTTTGTCTTTTCAAGAGAAAAAGGGTTGAAATCTTTGCTTAATGTTAAAAAAGTTTCTCAGTCAAGCCTTTGAGGCCGATTCCTCTCCCCAGCAGGGGCTGTTCCTGAGATGGGGGTTAAGCCCCCTGTGCAACCAGGATCTGAGCCGCCCACAAGCGGGCCGAATGAAAAGCCACCTGGGTCTTTGGCTCCCTAGAAGAAACGGGAGACCTCACCTGTGTGGGAAACCGAGGAGGAGGAAGAGGAGGAAGAAGATGAGTGCAGCAGGGTCTCCTGCCACGTGGCCCGCTGCAGGGGGGAAGCCACGTTGCAGCCACTGTTGTTGTTGTTCAGGGAATCCTGGACGTGGGGGAGAAAAAGAACAGAGCAACTCAGTAGGGCAGCATCTAAGAGGAAAGTCCCCACTTTACAACTTGCCAGCTCGGCACATAGCTTGGCTGTCTTCAAGGCCCCGGATCAGAACAGGGGAAGCACCAGAACTGGGACTCCATGGAAGCTGGCAAGGATACAGGTGCTGCTCCATGACCTTGGAGTCTTAGTGAACAACCAGCTAAATAGGAGCCAGCCGTGTGCGGCGGCAGTCAAAAAAGCCAGCGCAATCCTAAACAGCATTAACAGAGGGATACAACCCAGATCAAGGGAGGTACTAATACCACTCTATAAATCCTTAGTAAGGCCACACCAGGGGTGGGTTCTACTTACCTTTACTACCGGTTTGCAACGGGGCCACGCACACGCGCTCTTCTGCGCAAGCAGAGAAGCATTTTCATGACGTCAGGGTCAGTGGGCGGAGCCTCCCGCCGGTTTTACTACCGGTTCTATAGAACCGGTGTGAACTGGGGGCAACCTACCTCTGGGCCACACCTAGACTACTACATCCAGTTTTGGTCCCCACACTATAAAAAAATGTTGAGACTCTAGAAAAAGTGCAGAGAAGAGCAACCAGGATGATTAGGAGACTAGAGGCTAAAACATACGATGAACGGTTGCAGGAACTGGGCACGGCTACTCTGGTGAAGAGAAGGACATTTTCTGACCGTGAGAACAATCAACCCTTGGAACGGAAGTTGCCTTCAGAAGTTGTGGGAGCTTCATCACTGGAGGCTTTCAAGAAGAGACTGGACTGCCCTCTGTCAGAAATGGTGTACTGTATGAATCAAAACAAGGTGACCAAAAAAATATCAGAAGTGGCGTCTGGCCTGGCAGAATTTATTGGGAAAGTTGATTTTAAAGTTGAAGAACTTAAATCAGAAGTTAATGTTAAGATGAAAGACAATGATTATAAAATTGCTGATGTTGATAATAAAATGCAAAGAGTTGAAAACGAGATTGTCATGATACAATTCAGGGCAATGGAGTTTGCTATACGGCTTCGAGGAATTCGAGAGGAGGAAAGACAGGATTTGAGACAAGTTTGTTCTGAGGCCCTGGCTAAGATTTTACAAGTTAATCCAGATGTGGTTTTTCACAAAATAGACAAAATTTACAGAGTGAACTCTTGGGTGGCCAGACAAAGACAATTACCTAGAGATGTGGTCATATATTTTACAGATAGAGAAATAAGAAACGATATCCTGCAAAAATCCTTTTACACTTCTGTACAAGTGGGGGGCTCACGAATTGGAATTTATAAAGAATTGCCTCCTAAAATGCTGAAAGCCAGAAAAGAATTTGGCTTTCTTGTTAAGGAATTGCAAAATTTACAGATACCTTTCCGGTGGGACGTACCAGTTGGCATAATTTTCAGATACAAGGGAGAAAGATACCGTTTGAATACCGTGGAGAAGGCACAGCACTTCTATACTACTATTTTTAAGGAAAGAACACCATCTCCACGTACATCTACAGTTTTGGAGATTAAAGAGAGTGAAGAGAAGCAACCTCAACGAGAACTGCAAGAACAGTCTAAGCAGGAATTAGAAGAAGTGCAAGGTGCAGAAGGAGGTTTTCTGGATGAGCCCCTGCTGGAATCTTCTCCAATCTTGGACCCGGTTCGGATGATTGAAGTTAAGGATCAACATATAACTCGAGCTCAAGCTAAGTTACTTAAACAAAAGCAACAACAACAACAGGAAAGACAAGACAAGGAGGCAGATAAGAGTACTGCACAAGAGACTGGAGCTATGGGAGGAGCAAGATCGAAGCTTTCGGATGACCTTCAATTATTTTGCTCTTTGCTCCAGAAAGAGGCTGATGATGTTTAAGTGTTTATCCTGGAATGTTAATGGGTTGAATTCAGCACAGAAAAGAAAGAAACTATTTACATATCTGAAACAATTTAATAATGATATAATTTGTTTACAAGAAACGCATATCACAACTCAAGATCAAAAATATTTGATAAACTCCAAACTAGGAACACATTTTATATCTTCAACTTCGCAAAAAAAGAATGGTGTGGTTATTTATGTAAATAAAAAGTTAACAGCTAAAGTTATAGAAACAGATGAAGATGGTAGGTTTGTAGCAATTGAATTGTCTATAGCAAATGGCCAAATTCTTCTGATTGGGATTTATGCTCCCAATCAACAACAGGACTATTTCTATAAGATGTTACATACTAAAATATTGCAATGGGATTACAGATCTATTTTAATTATGGGAGACTGGAATGGAGTAATCGACTCTAAATTTCAAATGCTTTTGGCGGAACAAGTTGCAACAAACTTACAATATGCGAAGCATAACACATTTTGTAACGCTAATAAACCGGGCAGATGGTTGGCTTACACATTGAGGAAAAAACAAAGTATACGGACTATTGATAGTATTGATATTGGAGGGAAAGAAATCTTTCAACAAAAATTAATTAAAGAAGCTTTTGTGGACTATTATACCAAATTATATGCTAAAGAGGAGGTGCAGAATGGACTTATAGAAAAATATTTAAACGATAAAAGAGTTACAAAAATTACTGATCAACAAAAGGAAAGAATGAATTATCCTATAACAGAGGAGGAGATAATAGTAGCAATCAAACAGTTAAAAACAGCCAAAGCTCCTGGCACGGATGGTTTGACCGCAGTGTATTACAAAACTTTGCGAGCTGAAATGGTGGAACAACTTAGAGATTTATTTTGCAATATTCAGCAAGGGGGTAAAATACCCCCATCATGGACAACAGCTTACATATCTTTGATACCAAAAGAACAAATCGGTCCTAAAAAACCAGAGAACTATAGACCAATATCTCTTTTGAATACAGATTATAAAATTTTTGCGAAAGTATTAGCCAACAGGTTGATGCCAGTAATTCAAAAGGTGATTCATGATGATCAAGCGGGATTTATCGAGGGCAGATATATGAAGGACAATGTAAGGCAAGTAATAGATTTATTGGAATATCTTGAGAAGAATAAACAGATCCCTGCAGTGCTGGTCTTTTTGGATGCAGAGAAGGCCTTTGATAGAGTGGATTGGAATTTTCTATTAAAGACTTTGAAAAAGATGGACTTTGGGGATCAATTTATACAGGCGATTTCGGCAATTTATCAAGAGCAAAAGGCACAGATTATTATTAATGGAAGTCTGACAACAGAGTTTAAAATTGAAAAAGGAACAAGACAGGGATGCCCGTTGTCCCCACTTTTATTTATTTTAACACTAGAAGTCTTGCTAAATACAATACGGACTCTAATATCTTGAAAGGTATAAAGATTAGGCAAGAGGATTACAGAATAAAGGCATTTGCAGATGATCTGGTTGTTACCCTATCACAACCAATGGAATAAATAATCTTGATGAAGGACATTATACAAGATTATGGTAGAGTTTCAGGTTTTAGAGTGAACTCAAAAAAGACTAAAATGATAGTCAAAAATATGACACAAGATCGTAAACATGAGTTTGAAAGGAGGGCAGGTTTTGAAATTGTACCTAAGGTAAAATATCTTGGAGTTCAGGTTGCAGAATCAAACATGAAATTGTTTCAAAATAACTATGAGGTGTTGTGGCGAGAGGTTCAGAAAGACATGGAGACTTGGAAAAAGCTGCAACTGTCTTTACTTGGAAGAATAGCAGCAGTTAAGATGAACATTTTGCCAAGATTTCTGTTTTTGTTTCAAATGATTCCGGTGCTTAAAAGTGATAAACAATTGAAAGTTTGGCAATCTGGAGTGAATAAATTTGTCTGGAACGAGAAGAAGCCGAGAGTGAAATTGAAAATTATGCAAGATGTTCCAGAAAGAGGAGGTCTTAAACTTCCAAACCTACAGCTATATTATGATGCAGCAGCTTTAACTTTAACAAGTGATTGGTTTGGAAGTAAAAAGGCTGGAATATTGAATGCAGAAAGTTTTGATCTTGAATTTGGATGGCACACTTACTTATTTTATGATGACAAAGTTGATAAAGTATTTAAAAGTCATATACTTAGAGACTCTTTGATGAGAGTTTGGAAGAAGCATCGACTCAAATGGGATTATAAAATACCGCTATGGCTGGATCTTGGTCATACTTTGTGGAATACAAATATAATGTCACTCGGGGGGGGTTTATACAAAGAGGTTCTTTTTACAGATGCGGGCAGATGGCAGCTGAAGACATTGCAGACACTGTTGGACGAAGGGATTAATTTAACTTGGTTACAATATAATCAATTACAATTGAGATGGAAAGAGGACCAAAAAACTGGTATTTATGTTGCATGAGGAAGAATTGGTTAGACATATAAGAGAGAAAGGTCCAATGCATATCAAAAGGCTTTATAATGTTTTGCTAGAAAGGGATTCAGAAACTGAATTAGTTAAAGACTGTATGATTAAGTGGGCACAAAATTTCGAAGAACCAGTGATGTTGGAAACATGGGAAAAAATTTGGGTTCAGAATGTTAAATTTACACAGTCGCAGAACCTGAGGGAAAATTTCTATAAAATGTTTTATAGATGGCATTTAGATCCCAAAAAGTTGTCATGTATGTACCCTAATGTTCAGCCAAAATGTTGGAGATGTGAATGTTTGGATGCTACGTATTATCATGTTTGGTGGACCTGTAGGAAAGTTAAGGCTTTTTGGATAAAAATTTGGTGGGTCATGCAGAATGTTTTGAAGAAAAAAATTCAATTTTCTCCACAACTGTTTTTATTGGGTATAGTTAAGGGTTTTACATTGGGTGAAACAAAATTGATATTGTATATGATAACAGCAGCAAGATTGTTGATAGGTAAATACTGGAAGAATGAAGCTTTGCCCACTATCGAGGAATGGACTTTGAAGATGGCCAGTTTTGCAGAGATGGCGAAGATTTCAGCATATTTAAAAGATTGTTCACAAGAGACTTATGAATGGGAATGGAAAAGGTGGATAGAATATGTTCAGAACAAATATCAAACTAGAAAGTA